TACCACTACTCTGCATAATGTCTAGCCTGAAAACACATGCTATCTTTCATTTGTACTTTTCCAACCATGTGTGAAATATTTATAGAAAAAAATAACCTGCAATCTTTTTATTTCTTGTAACTGCAAATCCACAAACTTTTGTACACTTGATCTTTTAATCGCTTTATTGTACATAATACTTAGGGAGAAATTAAGTGTGGGCTGAATGCTTCTCTTCCTGATGTCTTAAAAAGTAAAATTACCTCCAGTAGTTATGTAGGACTCCAACCCCTTGATCAATGGCAGTATAATCTATCAGCCTCATTACTGATCATCATCCAATCAGGTTCTGAAAGAGAAGAGCTCCACGCAGATATCTCTTCAGCATAATGATATCAATTTGTTTGAATATATATTCAGAATTGCTTGAACTAAGGTATTTCTATTTTTAATTTTCTGAGGAGCCTCCATGCTTTTTCCATAATGGCTGTATTAATCTTTTCTCCACTCTTGCCAGCATTTATTGTCATCTTTTTGATCATAGCCATTCTAACAGGTATGAGGTGACATCTCACTGTGGTTTGATGTCACTTTTTTTTCCCACTATCTTAACACTTTAATGTGAGTCTATCAAAAAGATGGGTAGGGAGAAGGTGGATTGGGCAAGTCAGGAAACCCTGCCCCTGGAGACCCCTGGCCTTGAGAACTTTATTGGCTGCCTCTGCATAGTTTCCTGCTCTGCCTGCCAAGTCACCCTTGGAAGTCAATATATATTAACTTCATTTCATAGATAAGGAACCAGCTATTCTCAATATCTGAATAATTTTTCCCATGATAGACACACTATGTAATTTGGTCTATGGACATTAATCCCCCTTTCACAGGTTGTCTTTCCAGGCTACTTTGGCTGTAAAATCTTGAAAGGTATTGGTAAATAAAGTCATATCATTTAGCATTAGTTATCCTAAACTTTCTTATCCTCAGTACCACACTGTCTCTAAAACAGTGAGATATAGATCCCATATGTCTCTTCCCTGCTGGGTACTGGTGCACACAATGTGAACAATGGGAATAGATACTGGGCTCCAAATGAAAGTCATTTTTCTTCATGTGGGTCTGGACCATAGCACCAGACTCAACTTGCTTGCTACCTGAATTCTGAGAGATTACCTGGTCTTTGACTGCAGTCTTTTTACCTTAAACGCCTGCCAAACCTGGCACCCTGAAACATTGGGATCTTGCCTTCCTTCCCTGTTGGTATGGGATCCTTCTTACAATGGCCTGGCCAGGTTCCTTGAGCTGCAATCTTCCACTTCTGATTCTTCACTGTATATCTTTGGCAATCCAGCTGAAGAAAACCCCCAAAAATATGCTATTTGTGGATATTGATTACTTTGAGATAAAAGCATTTGAAAAATAGCAAATGCAATGAAAGGCTTTCTCTGCACTCCCCATAACTGTCTAAAGACAGATCCTCCAAAAGGAACTCAATTGGGAGTTTTATCATTAGAAATTATACTGCAAACTCTCCAGAAGTCCATTAGAAGAAATCACATGCAGACAAACCTTATCACAAACAATTATCTATTTTTCTTTCCTAAAAAATCATTTCCTCTCCCCTAAGTTTTTTATACCCCTTTTCTCCTCTCCCCTACCTAAATTTAGGTTCCTAATTCTCACTGAGTTTGGGGTCTTTTCTTTCCTATGATGCAGATAATTAATTTGTATAGCTTTTCTCTCATTCATCTGCCTGTTGTCAGTTTATTCCATAGACTTAAATATTAAACCTTCAGATGATGGAAGGAAAGTCTTTCATCTCCCACACAGCTTTTCTACAAATTAGGGATTACAAATGATGACCTCAAGAATTCATAGAAGTAGTATAAATAAATAAACTTGGACAAACAAACTCAGACACAGTGGAGTATGACTGCTGGCCTCAGGGTCTAGAAGGGAAAACTGCTTCTGTGAAATCATTTCAGAAAATGGCCTAGTATTATCAGCTCAACTGATTTTTAAGAAAAGATAGAAATCCCATTTTTATATGTGAAATTAGTAAATAATTGTTATGTTCTGAATGTTTGCATGCTTCTAAAGTTCAGGGTTGAAACATAACCCCTGAAGTGAAGGTATTAAGAGGCAGGTCCTCTGGAAGTTCTTTAGGTCAGGAGGGTAGAGCCCCCATGAATGGGATTAGTGCTTTTATAAAAGAGACCTCAGTGGTTGGAGGAGGTGTAGTTCAGTGGTAAAGCACTTCATGCTTTGCCTGTGTGAGACTCTGGGTTCCATCTCCAGCACTCTGTGACCATGCAGCATGAAGACGCTCTCAGTGCCTTAATCTTTGACTACTTAGCCTCCAAACTGTGAGACATAAATGTCTGTCATTTATAATCCACCCAATTATGAATTTTTTTGTGATAAGACCCCAAATGGACTAAGATAGTCACATATTCAGTGACACTTTAAAATATTATATGGATACACAAAACAATCGGACAATACCACAGTCCTCTAGTTTATGACTTCTGCTTCTGATAATCCTTATCTCTGGCTTAAAATGAATGTGGCAGTCTTAAATTCCTTGCTTACAACTTCAATAGTTGAGGTGAGGCATTTTTTTTGACATAAATTGATAATGATGAATTAAAGATGGAAAGTATTGATAATGACAGTAACGCATTACAAAAGTGATCCACCCTAAGTAGTACTGGGAAATAATTCTTCATAGTCTTTCATGTTGAGAGATATTAAAAGTCTTTGTTTAATTTGCTCAAGGATGTTTGTATAGCTAACAACCTTTGAAGATAGATACGGAGGTTCCATTGGAGCGATAGCCGGACATACTATGCCTATTGCAAAATATTCAGGTTTCCTAACTCAAGATTCCTCTCACATAATGCAATCTACAACACTGTTTGTGCCACTCTGTGAGAAATTCAGCTCAGGAAACAAGTGATTATGCTAATTATTATTATTATTATTATTATTATTATTATTATTATCATTATTTTATGAATTAAAAGCCCCTGGTCTCTGTCCCAGAAATTTCATGTCTTCCACTCACATGTATAACACAGCAGCAGGCTACCAGATTGCAAATACATTAACATGTCAGATTCTTCATAGTTCTTCACAATCAATATGAGTTTTTCTTTTACTCTAAGCTCTGTCAACAGTAGCCCATATAAAATGAACAGCATAGACTCTTCTTCTATACTGTTTCCTACTTTGCTCTGAGTCAATATATTTTCTTCTCCTTTTGAAAGGACTTTGCCTTATTTTCTAACAAAACAATATCTTGAATGCCCATCATTTCAAACACCTGAATCTTATTGTTTTTATCTGTTTGGAACTTCTGTCTTCACCTTCAGACAAAAGTTGATGCTTATCAACAAAACAAAGGAGTTAGAGGCAGCCTGTGGACCAATACAGCCTGTCTTTGAAACCGTTTTACTACTTACTAGTTGTGTTACTTTGGACAAGCTGTGTAACCGACTAATGCTTTATTTTTCTTATCTATAAAAGGGGGACAATAGAAATTAATTTTTAGAAAACTTAGACTTGTATATAATATATAGTGAGAATACAGTATATATAACTAATTATTATTTGGATGAACATTTCTTGAATGAATTCAGCTAAACACCTTAAATGCAGGTTGGTTGTGATTTACAATCTTCATTCTATTATTGGGAAGCTGAATGATAATGTAGGGTTAAAGGTGTGTTTGATCTTTTCCTGGTTCAAATCCTCAACGGATTCATAAAAAATTCTTTCTATAAGTATTCCCTTCTGGAAAAGCAAACACCCCATGCCCTGATCTTCTGTTAGTTATAGGAAGGACCAAGTATCATCCCCTCTCCAATCAAAGTACAAATGTACATTTATACATATAAACTATAAAGTTTAAAACAAAATGCCAAATAACTCTTCCATAGATGACCTTGTACACTCAGAATGCTTTAAATATTATCACATAAATATTACACGTTTTCTTCACAGCTTTATTTTTTTTTTCAAAAAGTCATTTTTCTAAATATTCCTAGTCTTCAGCAAAGTTCCCCGTGGTGTTTTCACTATATGCTATTGCACTTTTGTAATGACCACAAACAACATTCCCTGATTTTCTAAGAGCTCTCCTTTTTATTTTTCTAAGCTAATGACAATTAAAATAAAAATTCCAAAAGGGTAAAGCAAAAGAGGAAAAGCTACAAAAATCAGGAGATGATTTCCCTATACTTTCCTCCTCCCAATTTCCAAGCAGCTAATCCCCTCTCAAAAAAGTACAATAGAACAGCTAGACATAAAGAAAAGGAGATAAAATTGGCCAGCCAGCACATTGTTCTTGCTAATCTGAACCATTTACATAAGGGTTAGAAGGCTTGTTTTATCATTTAAACAGACTTAAAAGCCTCTTTGCAAATGAGATTTAGTTCCTACAAAAGAATGAATTCAAGCTATTTGGTGAGTTTTTGCTAGACCAGCACTGGGAGCTGACTTGGCAGTAACCAGAAGCTACTTCTTTGGCCACATACAGTATATGCAAAGATTGCTTCCAGCTGCCCAAACTGAAAAGCATCAAGCTGATTAAATTCTTTCCAGGAGGTGAACAGGATGAGGGGCAGGTTAAAAGGCCAATAATATCAGATCTCAAATTGTACCTGGGCAAACTCTTTCTTTATGCAGGTGCTTTAAAAGTGGCTTTGAACATTCAGAGCCCCTTGAATCTTCCTTTGAAAAGGAACAGAAGGGCAGACAGCAAATGAAATTCAGAGACAGAGAGACTTAAAATAGTCTCAAGCTGTGAAGGGAAGACAATTTAAACTCTTTGATTCATTGTTGGTCTGAGTGGCATTGGGCACAAGGGTAAACTGCATAAACTTAACTTCCTTGCCAATGTTAGCACAAAAGATAATTAGAAGGAAAAGTTTTTCAGAACACAGAGGAGCACACTCTTTGCACCAAAATCTTGGATTTTTAAAGATCAAGTTTATGTACGCTATACCTATTATGTGTTTTACCTGGCACACCTTGAACAGATATTCAGTGTGACCTTGGCCTGGGGCTCAGCAGGATGAGTAGGTCGGCCTTGGTTAAATTTGCTCCCAGAAGGTACCAGGGTTGTTACTCCCTCCATTCTTAAATCATCAAGATCCTCTGCAAAAACACAAACAATCACAGAGAAAGAAAAAAAATAAGTCTAGTACAATTAAAGAGGATTTTTTTTTTTGTCCTCAGGTAGATAACTGTAGGCAGAAGCCAATAGTTTGTTAAGCAAGATATTATTTTATATAACCCCTCTGCAAAACTCTTAACCTCACACTTCAATTATTTTTCAGATCATTTCTAGATGTGGTTGGAGACAAATTATTTGAGAAGATTTCTGAGACACAAAAAGGTGAGAGACAGAAAATGCAAACAGACAATGGGTAGAACATACACGAAATAGAATGCAGATCCACAGCCTCCCCTGGAACTTTATCCAGGGGAGCCCAACCAGAACCTCTCCAGCAATATGCCCCCAATGGCCAGGACTTGCTGGAATACTGCTGGCTGCCTGTTTTTTGTTTTTTTTTTGTTGTTGTTGTTGTTGTTTGTTTGTTTGTTTGTTTTTGTTTTGTGTTGTCTTTTTTTCCAACACAACCAAAGAGAAAAAGCCAAATATACTTTAAAACCAATTACATAATTCTTTCATTTCCAATTAGCCTGCTTCCAGCTTCTCCATCCAAAAACCTCCAATCAGGATTTACCTGAAACTGTCTAATTATTTTGCTGTCAATTTTTTCTCTGTTCCTGGGGAGGACAGTCAGATACCTGGATAGTCATGCCCCAGAGGGTCCCTGAAGCTCCTTCCATTTTTCCCAGGTCCTCAATCAAGACTCAAATGATTTAAAATTCTTTTGTGGTTCAATTCCCATATAATATGTACATAATCTACTTCTTTGTTCCAAGAACATACAAGCTTACAAAAAGGATTTCATTAACTTGCTTTTAGCCTTTGTAAAGAAAAGACATAAAGTTTCAAAGAATCAATTATATTTTGCCAAAATGTAATCCATTACTAATGGCATAATCTACAGGAGGAGGCAAATCATTCTCTTGTGATAAAATAAAGGATATAAAACAACCTAGACCCCTCATAAAACAGTTCAGAGCATTTCTAGGTTTAACTGGATATTGCAAAATTTCAACAAGTGTGAAATCTTCCTGAGATGGTGACAACTCAGACTGAAACATGTATAGTCCTTCTGAAGCAGGATGGTCAACAGCACCTCTCAACAGGCAGTCCTAAGTGAAAGCTCTTCTGTCTTCTTGTGCTTAAGCAATCTGGAGAAGCCCTTAGAGTTTTAATTTAGCTTCAGGGAAGTTATCAAAAGCTCATCACTTTGACCTGGTTGCAAAGACTGTCCTCGTTTAACAGCCTAGCTGCCATTTCAAAACTTGGTGCTTTTGCTGGAGTCCTTATGGGCTCTCTTTCTGATCTCATACTGATCTGTATATCAATACAGATAAAACTACTGCCTGAGAACACACAATACTTTCTAGCCAGCAATGAACCTCTCATGACACACTGTGAGTCTCTCCTTACTTACTGTTCACCACTGTAATACCGTAATTTATGCCACTTTCCAGTCCCTTCCATGAAAATGAAAGTTCATGATTTTCTTACATCAGTTAAAGAACTTTCTATACTTCACCCCACCCCACCCCACCCCCCTTTTTTAAGGATTCTTAAGGAAAACCTTGACCCAAAATTATTTGTTCTTGGATCATACTTTAACATTTGAAACTGGAGGTTACTAAGTAGAGTATGCTACTATTAGGGTTCAGAAAATGATACCCCAAAGTGTGGTATTTTGACATGCTGAACTGAAGAAACCATCTCAGACCTAAGATCTCTCTAGCCCCCTCTACCCCCTCTATCTCTTGATCATCCTTGATCCCTGCTCTCTAATGAAGTTCAGGGGAAGCCTTCCTTGAAGTTCCCTTATTTGACCAATGGAAATCCTCTTCCTCCAGAGAATACAATTTTTGCAAAATCTCATTATCCAGGAAAGATTAACCTCAGGAAAGGTTAATCAAACACCATACCTGGAATCCAGAGGACATTTGTCGCAGCCCTTGTATATTCTTTAAGCTCATTCAACTCTCCTAAAAACTCACTTATTACCCCCTCAGATTTGCCTACAAATTCTCATTTCTCTCTCTCCTATGAAGAAGGTACATAAATTTCTGCATATCAGTGGGTTAGTGGGTAATCACCATTCCTTGATGTTCCTGTGCACATTAATATGTCTGTGTGCTTTTTCTCCTGCTATTCCGCCTATTGTCAGTTCATTTCAGTGAGTGGTGAGAGCGGTGAGGGGAATTCCCTGCACCATCACTAACTTAAGTTTACTTGAAGAATAGAGTCCTCCATGTGAAGTAAATTCAGTACAGATGGCAGAACTATTGCACTTGCTTGAGCTTATTGATTGATGAAAGACCTCAGACTAAATACATGCAAGGCCTACTTTTCTTCTTAAGTATAACTTTGGGATGCTGTAGAAGCAAAAGCTTTTTTTAACTCTGTTGGAACCTCCATTTAGAATTAGACAATTTATATAAAACAATTTTAGATATAGTCCTACATATAAAGTGGTCACTGTTATAAAGAGTGAGACTCATGAGAAAGAAATAATATGATGTTAAAGAAAACGTTATACCAGATCATTTTGCCAAATAAGCAGCCTTCACTAAAGTTATGATCCTATCTCAATTTTTGAAAGATAAATTCCTGGAGGAATTAAAAAACAATGTTATCAAATACCAACATTTAATTCATGATTATGGAAAGAACAATGAAAAACTGAGTGAGGCTAGAACCACAGTGTGTCAAATTCACAATGAAAAACCTACGCTTCTACATCATGCTAAGTGAAATCAGCCAGACTCAGAAAATCATAGGTTGAACATTTTCTCTCATATGTGGAAGCTGGAGCAAAGTAAAAGAAAGAAGGTGATGGGTGAGAGGGCAGGGATCAGATATCATAGATATATAGGGAAGATCGATGGAGTAGAAGGAAGAGAACATGAGGGAGGGAAGGAGGATGGGAAAGGTGAAGAAATATGGAATAATTTAACAAAATCACGCTATATGCATATATGAATGCACCAAAGGAAATTTCACCTTGGGAGCAATAGGTAGGGGGAATGGGGATTAAAATCAAATTCACTGGATGTATGATTTTTTTCAAAATGAACCCAACTATTATGTATAATTATGATATTTTAATAATAGAAAAAGAAAGAAGAAAGAAAGAGAGGGAGGGAGACAGAGAGGGACGGAGAGAGAGAAAGGAAGAAAAGAAGAAAGAAAAACTAGATAGACACATTATGGTTCTAGCCTTTCTCAGATAATCTCTGCTGGTCTTGGTGGCACCATATGGTTTCCTAAATTACTATAAAGGTGGAATATGATCAGGAACCAAAGTTTCAAGGGCCTTTTGAACACCATCCTGTGGGAGACCAACCTTACAAGTGACTGAGTCACACTCCCCAGCTGGGTGCTGAGGTGCTCAATCACAGAAATGTGGCAGAGCTTTCCCCACCCTTCTTGGGTTCCAGGGTCGGTGTCTCGTGCATGGGTGTGTCTTGCTACAGCCCCATGGGTGAAGCTATGCTCACCTGTTCCTTTGTAATATAACCCCTTGCCCTGTTTAGGATAGAATCTTCCATGGAAGTGCCTTGTGTGTGTCCCCTTCTCTTACTGTGTCCTTGGGTGTGGCCTACCCAGGTGTCAGTCAACCTGCTGACAGTGGACATCATGAAGATAGACTCAAGCCCCCTGAAACCTGACCCCTTGCCTCATTTAAATAACTTCTCCTCAATAAAAGGGGTCAGTGCGTGCTCTCGCCCTCTCTCTGACCCTTAAGGTCAGAGGAGCCGTCACAGCGACCCCAAAGAAAAAGGTATCTGTGTCTCTTGTGTGGTTATTTTGCGCAACCCAGTCAGCCCAGTTCAACTGGAGTGACCCCTGAGCCTTTTAGTCGTGAGAACAGAAACACAGTACCATCCAATGAATTTATACAGTTCTCATTCTTTGAGGGATGGAATTTGATATGTTTTAGTTATTATGTCTGATATCAGGATGGTTGAAATATCTCCTTGCCCAAAAGCTGTAGTCGTTACAGTGTCTAAATAATTGACTGATTTTATATTTCCAGGCTTGGGAATACAAATTTTACATCAAGAGGCCAATACAAACTTTCACAAGAAGTATCAAAGAACATGCTCTCATACTCAGAAACCATACTGCCCTTACCACCTACATTCTTCTGGAAAGGTGGAAAGAATCAATGATATCTTTGAAATAAAAATTAATAAAACTTTTAGAAATGCTTGAGCTTCCTTAGTCAAAGGCACTCCTACTTGCTCTTATATCAGTATGGTCTACACTCTTTGGGACTCTTGTTTATTTCCTTATGAATTGGTAACCAAGGAGCTATGCATTTCAATTTTTAGCTACATTACTATACACTTCCCTGTATACATGACCATGGCAACATAGTGAAAAGGGCTCATGTATTATACCCATTCCTACTGCCAACATGTTAAGGTTATATTCCCAAAACATCTTAACAGGCTCTTCTTGATATCCAACCAAAAGATTTCATCTATTACAGGATACATGAGGAAAAAAACTGTTTTTGAACCCCAGTGGAAATATTGTTAACAACAGTGAAGTAAAACTCCCTGGGGTAAATCCCATTTCACAACTAAGTGATCTGAATCAACAAAAGTTAGAATCTACTCTAATAGAGAACATCAAACTAAGGATTCTCTGAGACTCTCTGGAAGCAGCTGATTTTCAAAGTAGATAGATGGCTTATGACCTTCAGAGCCTATGATGACCTCAGATAGTACACAGCTTCTGCCCAAGATGTAGGCCAGAGACCCCTTCAATTCATTTTTTTTTTTTGCCTAATGATGATCATTCTTCCCACTTTCTATCAATCCCCGATCATCATCCACTCACAATGACAGTTTTTCTCTTTATACCATTTGAGCCCTTAAACTTCTGATTGCTGAATATGCCATCCCTCATCAGATCCCCGTAACGAAAATGTCTTTGAGAAATTTTAGTCTCATTAAATGAGATCACAGGGAAATACAGC